GGGCCATGGCCGGGCGTATCTGACCGACCCCCCCTGTCCTCGCAGTGACTTTGGTGGCGTCGCTTTTGGTGGCGGCCCTCTCGGTGGCGGAAATCGCGCGTTTCAAATCCCGCGACATCCAGGCCGATCTGGTGGTGGATTCCAAGCGCACGGAGAAGCTGGACATCTACTTCAGTGTGACCTTCCCCCGGATGCCGTGCTTCGGTGCGCGCGCCTCCCGCGACTCGTGCGATCGCCAGTGCGAAATGCTGGTCCTAACGTGTGCCTTGCCCGTGGCCCTCCGGCATGCTGGCAGCCCTGACGGTGGATGTGGTCGATGTGGCCGGGGAGCACCAGACGAACCTCGATTCGAGCCTGATGATGACACAGCTCCGGCCGGATGGCAGTGAAATTGATGAGGCCAGTACGTTGCCAGCAATGTGGCCCCCTTCGCATGGGGGGTGGCGAAATGCACAGCCGCCATCCTCACTCACGGGCCGTTGCCACCCTCTGTCCAGTTCAACCGGGGGCCGATCGCTCGGCCGTCTACTCCCCGCCACCCCCGGGATACTGCGGCCCCTGTTACGGGGCCTCGGACCACTCGACCCACTGTTGCAACTCCTGTGAGGATGTCCGCCGGCTGTATGTTGCTCGGAAGTGGGCCTTCACCGATCAGATCGCCGCATCCATGGAGCAATGTGTGCGCGAGGCTTGGTCCAGCGAGGGGAAGCGCCAACAGGGCCAGGGATGCCGCGTCCATGGGACGGTCACCGTCAACAAGGTCCAGGGAAATATGCACATTGTCCCGGGCAAGTCCATGCACGAGAAGAAGGTCCATGTCCACGACATCAAGGAGGTCATTGGCCAGATGAATGGGTGCGTCTTGAGGAGGTGGACACGGGCCACACAGAACCCCCCCCCCCCCCCGGGCATGGGGGGACAAGTGAAAGAAGTCATGTGCCGCGGCTCGGCCAGGCGCCTCCAGCCCCCGGGTGAGTGGGATGGAGGGGCCTGCCAAGCACCCTGCATCCTGACATGCTGCCCGTTGCTTTTTTTCTCATGGCCCTCCGCCGCCCCTCCTCTGCTGGTTGCCCGTCTGGTCCATGTAATCGCTCATCCGGCGGGAAAAAAAACCCCCAACAAAACACCCGCACACGCACGCCCACGAAAGGCGCCTGCTTGACTTCTCGCACCGGATCGATGCCCTGTCCTTTGGATCGCCCTTTGGTCATGGAGCCGGACCGGGGGCCACCCACGAGCAGGAGATCTTCCCGGATTCGCGGCTGGAGGCCATCAGCCCGGTGCTGGTGACGCCACTCAGCGGCGCCGAGGAGGTCATGCCGCAGGGGGCTCTCTCCACGTACCAGTATTTCCTCAAGATTGTGGGCACCGACTTGACCCGATACGACGGGAAGGTGGCTCGGACTTCCTACCAGTATTCGGCCTCGCTTCACACGCAGAACATCATCTCAAGCAACATGCTTCCAGGTTCGTGTCGGGGCCACACCGGAGGGGCCGGCCTGGCTCTTGCATTTCTTTTGCGCCTCATTCCAGCTCGGGGCCATGCGTGTGAAATGTGCCCCCCGCCCCCTGTGGCAGTTTCCCCTGCTCCTTGGCTCGGGGCTTTGGCCCAACTGACGTATCTCCACCGGGGGCGGCGGGGGTGCCTCGGGCCGCCTCGGGCCGCTTTGGGCGGATGCGCCCCATCCAACACAGGCATCGTCTTCCACTACGACCTGTCGCCCATGCGGATCATCTATCGCGAGCACCGGCGCTCGATTGTGTCCCTGGTCACCAGCCTGGCGGCCACGGTGGGAGGGATCTTCTCGGTGGCAGCCTTCATCGATGCCCTGGTTCATCGGCTTCGGGGCGGGAGCTCGCACCTGGTGGCCGGTGGCACTGGCGGCGGCGGCGGCGGCGGCGGCGGCGGCGGCGGCGGGAGCTTCCTCTCCGGAGGAGGGGCCGGCATGCCGGCCACAAAGCCCACGGGCTACGGCGGTGCCGTGCCGACTGGGGGGCCGCATCAGCACCCGGGCTCGGGGCTGGATTCGGCCACGTCCCCGGCCGCCTACAACTATGGATCGTCATTCAATCTGCTCAACACCCCGGCCAGCTCCGGGCAGCAGCTTCACCACCTGTCGCCCTACTCGACGGCCCCCAATTCGGCCGGTGTCTTTGACAAAGACCAATGAGGCTCGGACGAGAGGGCGATCCCCCCCCCCCCCCCCCCGGCGAGCGGCGAGCAACGAGCGAGAGGGTCACGGGTGTTCCTCTCCTCTGCGAGGCCCTCCTCTGCGGGCAGTGGGCAGGAGTGCGGCCAAACAGGCCCGATCGGTCCGGCTCCCTGAGTCATGGGCTGGTAGAGCCGCGGGAGAATTGCCTCGTCCGCATACGCCAGCCATCCTCCGGGCCGGCGGCCGGCGTCAGCAGGGCGACGGCCCCGAAGTGGAGGCACGGGCCGGCATCCGGCGGTGGCTGCACAGGCCTCCGCTCCTCCGCCGCCGCTGCCCGGCGTGACGTGCTCCACCGACTCTGGCCGAGGCTCGGATGGGGCAGGAATAGAACTCACGCACGATCTGAAAGCAAGCCGCGTGAGCGGCACCCCGCAACATGATCCCCCCCCCCCCCCCCCGCGCCACGTCGGGGGCGTCCAGGGCGCCCGCCCGTATTGCGGGGCGCCCCCTCCCCCGCGCACAGGCACACACACACACACGCACGGGCGGATGTAGGTGCAGGGCCGAGGCAGGGGAGGCACACCCGCCCGCGAGGGGGGGGGGGCACTGTTTTCTGCGCCGCCCCCGAGGCTGTCCCGTCGGGGCGATCTTAGGTGCCATCGGTCTTTCCGGGCGGTCAGGGCGGTGGACGGGCACGCGCGCTCCGGCGGGAGTGATCGGCGGGTTGCCAACACCCGAGCGGCGGGGGGGGGGGGGTGCCGCGTGTCCTTGTCGGGGGTGCGATGCAGGCGGAAAAATAAAAAGAAAACACGCCTGCACCCGACTCGGAGGCCGTGGAGGAACCCTTGTGCCACCGTGAGGCGGTCTCCGGCCTGCGGTGTCGTCAGATGAGTCGGCGCGGGGGCGACGCGGGTCACCCCATTGGAGCCTGGCGCAGTTCCCACCATTGGTCGATCTTAACCCGCGCGCCGGTGAGGCATACCCCCTGAGCATAGGAGGGAGCCCCGGCGGTTTACATATTACCCTGTGGCCAGCCGGGGGGGGGTGCTTCGGGGGGGGGGGGGGAGGGCGGGAGCCGGGGGCGACTGGCGAGCAGCAACAGGCGTGCTCCATGGCTTTCGGGACGTCTCGGCCGGCGAGGAACGGGAGCCGCGCGAGAGGGACAGGCCGCGGCGGAGCTCGAACGAGGTCCTGCGGAGCGCCGGTGCCCCGCTGCGAAGCCCCCTGCTCCAGGCAACCAGGGGCCAGGGAAGCAGAGGCAAGTCCGGCCGGGGGGGGGATTCCCCCCTCCCCGCCTGCTTGAGGGGCGCACGGCGAAAGCACGATCCGGGCCAGGAATGCGCCCTTTTGGCAGGCCACCTTGCTTGTACAAGGCGGCGCCGCTCTCCCGGCGGCTGGCCGGATGTCAGGGGGGGAAGACTATCGGAGCCCAGGGGCCGCCGGGGAAGCGGGCCGCCGAGCTTGCGGGGAGATGGAGGAGGAAGGTGCGCGCACGGGCGCACATGCCCTCGGCCCCTTCCAAGATGCCCGGCGGCGCCTCCGGCCTCCCCCCATCCGGGTGGGGGAGGGGACGTGGGCAATGGCTGCGCGCACAGGGAGGGGGAGAGGGAGAGAGTGGCCGAAAGCTCCCCGGAGCCCGCAGGGGATTCCTTAGTGTCGCTGTGCGCTCGCTCGCCCTCTCTTTGGGGCGCTCCCCCGCCGCAGGGCGCTGGCATTGCAAATGCTCCTGTGCCTGAAGCCGGCGTAGCCGGAAAAATGCGCCCCCGGTCGCACCTGTCGTGCCGCGCGCCCCGGCACTGACGCCCGGGGGCCGGCCGCCTGTGGAGGCCACGGGGGGGGGGGGGGGGGGGGGGCGCAAGGAGCTCGCGCGCCGATAACCGCCGAGCATTGGGGGGGGCTAGGCGCCTGAGAGAGAGGCTCCCAGAGGCAGACGCTGATCCTGACGCGCGGGCCGCCGAACATCAATGCGCCCTGGACCGGTGCCGCCCTCCCGCCACCCCCCCCCCCTCCCCTGGCCGGGGCCG